TTATGTCGTGTGTTGTACTATTCTGCCTTCACAGGAACACGTCGCAGTGCCATTTTTGTTCGTTTTGCGGTGCATGACCTCGGCAGCCATATCAAAATGCTCGCCCTTACCAAGGAGACCCTGCAAGAGAGTATCATAGGTGATCATTGTTCTGCCGTCGGAACAACCAAGGTCCTGCTCTGCGAAGTACCCACTCGCAGGTGTAGCGCCTTTTGTGTAGCGGGTAAGGAAGACCGTGTGATGGGTTGAAATTGCAAGAGATGGGACGATACGAAGCCCCGCTCCCTTTTTCGTACCCCTGACCATTGCCCTCCACTTGCTGCCCCCAGGTTCAATGCTGTACGGCCTCCGCAGGAACCCCGATCGGCTGAACCGGCACCCGGAGATACGGGCGGAGATCACCGCACTAGGGTTCAGCTGGAAGGTACCCAAGAGGGGCCGTCGGAAAAGTATCGACACCACTGCTGCCGCCGCCGCCGCTACATATGCCGGGGTCGATGGCACGGCGCCGAGAAGTAGAGGCCGCGGCAGGAACGAAGCGCTCGGTGGGGAGCCGGGAGGCGTAGCGGCGGCAGCAGCAGCGGTCCTGCGACCATCGCCACCGCCGTCGGATGCCGCTGTTGTTGTGTTGGCGGCCGAAGGGGTCGGGCAGGACGTCGAAGGCCCTTCGCGGTTAGGCGATGGAGCTGGTGGTCGTGGGTTTGATGTTGGGGGTGAGGGTGGTACTGTTGTCAGTGATGGTAGGTCTGAAGGTGTGCGTGCCCGAAGTCGGGCACATGGTGAAGATAGCACCACAGCGAAGACGAATAAAGGTAGCGTAGTAGCGAACGGTAGTTCAAGTTGTAGGAATAGAGCGGGTCGACTCCTGTCCCCCGCAGGCTGTTAGAAGAAGGTGGGGAGATGTTGGGAGGGGGGGGCGGCGTGCGGGCTGTTGGGCCGCCGGGCGCTGGAGCTTAGACTAGCGCACCTCGCTAGAAGCGCCATGTTCGCAAAAGGTTTCGTGGCACGCAATTCGCTGATTGGTCAATGCACCTGCAGTGGAATTTTCAAATTGGTAAAAGAACAGGGACGGCCCAAGATCGTTGGTCGACGGGTGGGGTAATCCACGGCCAAACCGAGGGGTGCTGAAGGTTTGCCGTTTACTTTCGAAGCTAGTGGTTGCTTGTTCGAACCCGGTGCGCTGTACGTTTCAGGAGGCGGAAATGTTTACCGTTTCGTTTCGAAACTAGTGGTTGCTGGTTCGAACCCGGTGCGCTGTAAGTTTCTTTGCGCGGCCTTAAGCTAGGATATTTGGCCCCTAACCGCAACCCAACCGACCCGACCCAAACCTATGGCAGTGGAAAGTGCTAGGTCACTACACGAAGCAAGCCTAGGCCGCGGCAAGCCGCGGGGCTGGCGCTAGGTTGCTGCACCGTTTGCGTTCTAGGTTGCTGTTGCTGTCCCGTTTAGGCTAACTAAGCCGCGGCGCAGGAGGGGGTAAGGGCTAGGTTGCTGTGCACCGTCAGGGCTAGGTTGTTGTTCGTCAGGGCTAGGTTGCTGTACGGTGTCAGGGCTGCACCTACCCAAGGAGTGTTTCAAGAAATGGTGTCCCGACATGGAGATCACTGCTTTCGACCAAGTCGTCAGCACTACTGGCCAAACCACATCCTGGCCGCGGCCGGAATCCTGGGAAAATCAATCGTGTCTGATGGACCTGTTAATGTTGTCACCTTGGCTGACTAGGAACTAGAGAGACGGATCCTCTCGGCTGACCGACCGATCCGATCCGCATTGTTAGACTAGATACAGCTGTGATGGATCTTTCCGAGCTAGAGGGGCTTTTGGCGGAGAATCATAAGGTTATTATCCATCATACGCTGCCTCTCGCCCACATTACTCTCCTCTCGAGAGGAAAGTCGTCCCCTCAACATAAAACATGCATTGCAATTCTATCTGATCGACGCACAGGATACGCACGTCTCGACCGTCCGAGAGACACAAACATCATGGCTTAGCAGAAGTTTCATCGACATCCCGTGTTCTGAGGTTGTTTATTGTTGAAAAATTACCAGCAGCGGCTGGGTAACATAAACGGATGAAGTGACACGCAGTTCGCGGTGTTCCCCGCCTCTTCATAAATCCTGGTCTAGGATGAAAGCGACGCGCTGCAAAGCTCGTTGTTAGTAAA